TCGGAACTGGCGGCCTTCTGTCGATACTTGCTCGATCCGAAGTGCGCGCGTCCCTGACGGTTGTTCGCACGTTGCCTCGCCCGCAGCACCTTTTCCTACGCATCGGCATCCGAGATGCGCAGCAACGCTAGTTGATCAGCTAGATCGCGGTCGTCCAGGGTCTCGATGTAGTGTTCTACGTGCTCGCGGCGGACGTCGGATGGGCCGCTCTTCACGCGCAGCTTCACCCTCAGTCCTGCGACGTTCAGGCGGTGCAGGTATTCCAGCGGCGTCTCATCAGCGCGCTTCCTCGCATGGTAGTATTGTCTCGCGACCGAGACTCCGAGTCCGCAGAACTGCACTTGGAACTCGCGCAGAAGCTCCTTCCAGTTACCCCCTCGTGGTCCGACTAAGTTGCCGGTACCAGTTACGCGCAGGTCCGGTGAACAGGCCACCAAGCACCAGGCACTTCTCGTCGTCTGGAGCCTGATCGCGGACGAAAGCTGACTTCACCTTGCCGATCCAAGCCCGCGCGCGATCCTCGTCGTCGTCCTTCCCCGAGAACTCTTTGAGTTCTGGCGGACACGCGAATACGAGGGGTAGCGCACTTTCCGATGACACCGTCTCACGTCTTCGACAAACAATGCGATCCGTTTCGGCAATTAAACGCGCGTCATCGTTCAGCAAGGCCCCCGTCAACTCTTCCAGTTCGGCTTCATCATCACTGGTGCTTAACAAAGTGGGCTTCGACACGGCGTCCTCGTCTTTCAGATCGCCCCACGCAGACTCCGGTCTGACGATAACAGACAAATTGACACATCCGTCATTAGTTGGAAACACTTACGTATTCATGCATGACGAAACGATTGTTTGTGTGATTTCCAAGATGTGGAACGTGACCGCGTTCGTATACAGCTCCCATGTCCTTGCATGCGTCCCAATTATTCATGAAGTACTGGAGGAGGGGGTGCCTCGGCTCAGGAAGCTTGTCTTGCTCATCGAAACCGTCAAGTAGGTAGTACATGTATCGTAGTCCACGGTCGTACTCGTTTTCGTCCTGAGCGTTACCATCATGCCCACTGCATCCTCGACTCGATCAACATCAACACCATCCCGGCCGCCGTATATCGCCTTCGACATCTCTGCCCGCAAATACTTCTTCAGGTGAAAATGACAAATTAGAACCCGAGCAAGAGGGAATTCCTCTAGAGTAGACTGATCTCCCCGAAATCCTTGTCGATCATGATGGCACGGATCCGGTCCCAAGAGGGTTTGTTCTTCTTAAATGCTCCGATGGCATCCAGCATACACGCATGACTCTCTTTCTGTATCAGCGAATGCTGCACGTATTGACCCTAACACACGAAATCAACCTGTTAGTACTCAAGCAGGTCAAATGTTCACCAACCGATCACCAATTACCAACCGATCACCAATTACCAACCGATCACCAACACGGATCTCCATTCACCAACCGATCACCAACCACAAACCAGTGGATTACCGGTCTTCGGCAATCGAATCACCACTTACATGCCCAAATACATCATCGATCATCAAGCTGAACAACTTGTACTTCGACGAATACGTCCCAAGCGTGGAGGCCAACATGACCACCTCGGGGAACGCCTCGAAAAACCTCCGCATTTGATGTGTTTGTAGCGTAATCGTCTGTGCCTTGCTGGAATCATAAGTGAAGACTGTGGCAGTGTTGTCACGGAACGAGCGAAACTTGCGGAGAACCGTCTCCAGTCACTCTTTAACCGTAGCAGACCCGTGTCGC